GCCTTCCATCAGTCGTTCCCACGACCTAGAAGGTCCCGTTTTCCCCTTTGTGCCTGCTCAGATCCTGCAAGACTGTGGCCACAGACTCTTCCTCCTGCATGCAGGGCCTGAGGCTCTACCGTGCTCCCTCTTCCCTAAATTCCTACTGCTCATACCGCCGGCCATTGCCCCCACACAGCTGTACACTGAGTCTCTAGTTCAGGCCAGCAAACTCAGGGCTTCACACTTGACCCTAGTATGTAGCTTCGTGTAGAGGGTCAGAAGCACCAGAGAATTTTCCCCATGACCTGTGGCACCAAGACCCAGGGCTAGGACTGCTTTCCATGGACAAAATGCAAAGTAGATGAAATTGATCATTGATGTTTTCTAATAAAGCTCCCCACTCCCCACACTAAATTATACTAACATGTGGAAGGTTATATGTATATGTATCCTGCTTTCTCCCACTCATTTTTTCTTTCCAGTATGGAAATAATAATAACGATGACAACAGACTTGTTACTGGGTGTCAGATACTTTTCCAAGCACTTGATAAGTATTAACTGATTTAGCCTTTCTAACAATCCTTTGAAGCAGTTATTATTACTATCCTCCTACTACAGATGACCAGACTGAGTCACAGAGAGGTTAAGAAAACATCTAAGCTCACAAAGCTGGGATTCAAAGCCAGGCATTTAAATATGGTGCTATACTGACTCACTAATAAATTAATGTATTTGTTTTTTTACTGATGGTGGAAGTAATGCTTGCCAAATGTTTTTAAAAATCAGATAGTAAGTATAAGCACCACAGAACTATGACAACTGGAAAGCACAACATGTAATAATTTTTTGTACAATGAGCTTGGTTTCTGAATTCTGGTACTGAGAATGCTGGAAAGCTGAGGCTGACCACAGGGCTGAGGCTGGGCGGACTTGGCCCAACCCAGATGTAAGCTCTTCCCACACAGCCATGCGGGGAGAGACAGAATGGGGGGGTGCCAGAACTTGGATCAACTTTGCAAAAACATAAACTAAAAACAAAGTATAAGGAGATTATCCCTCATAATCCGGTAACCCAGAAAGAGCTAAATAGCCTATCCAGCTATAAACCCACATTAGTTCTTATTTCAGAAATGGAATCGCATTGTATATCGTGGTGCTCTTTTGTTTATTTGATTGTTTGTTGAGGCAAAATTTTTAAAAATTTTACTCATTTGAGGGAGAGAGAGAAAGAGATGTGTGAGCAGAGAGAGGGGCAGAGGCAGAGGGAGAAGCAGAGTCCCTGCTGAGCAGGGAGCCCAAAGCAGGGCTCAGTCCCAGGACCCTGGGATCATGGCCTGAGCCGAAGGCAGACGCTTAACGGAGTCCCCCAGACGCCCCAAGGCATAATTTATATACCATAAAATTCTCTTACTTTAGTTATACCAATAATTTTAATAAATTTGCTGAATTTTGCAACCATGACCACAATACAATTTTAGACCATGGCATCACCCCCAGAAAGACCCCATATACCCATCTGCATTTCCTCTCCATTCCTAGCCAGGCCCTGGCAATCTTCTCTGTAATGATTTGCCTCTCCTGGACATTTGATATAAATGGGAACATACAATATTACGAATCTGGCTTCTTTTCCTTAGCGTCCCGTTTTCAAGTTTCATTCTTGCTATGAATGCAGCCCTATCTCATCCCTTTTGATGACTGGAGAGAGTCCGTGGTATATATATGCCATATTTTGTATATACATACATACATACCTTCATTCAAGCATTGATGAATTTGGATTATTTCACGTGGGTGATGCTGCCACGGATATTCATGTCCAAGTGCTTGTGTGGACAGATGTTTTCATTTCTCTGGGGTTGCTATCTAGGAGTGAATTATTTAGTTGTATGGTAAAATTTTCCCAAATGGCTGTGTTATTTTACATTCCCACCAGCAGTAGCTGAGAGTTCTAGTGTCTCTACATCCTAGCCAATACTTTCCACTCATCTCTGTCTTTTTTTTTTTTTTTTTAAGATTTATTTATTTGACAGACAGAGATCACAAGTAGGCAGAGAGGCAGGCAGAGAGAGAGGAGGAAGCAGGCTCCCCGCGGAGCAGAGAGCCCGATGCAGGGCTCCATCCCAGAATCCTGGGATCATGACCTGAGCCGAAGGCAGAGGCTTTAACCCACTGAGCCACCCAGGCGCCCCTCGTCTCTGTCTTTGAGCACAGCCGTCCTCGTGGTTGTACTGTAATTCTTCACTGTTGTTCGGACATAACATTTCCCTAATGGTTGATGATAGCAAGCATCTTCCCATGTGCTTATTGGCCATTCAAATATTTTCTTCAGTGAAATGTCCATTCAGAATGTTGCCCATTGTTTTGGTTGTTGTCTGTTTTTTATTAAATCATAAGGGTTTTAATATATTCTAGATACAAGTCCTTTATCAGATATATGATTTCCAAATATTTTCTCCCAGTCTGTGGCTTTTCAGGTTCTTAATTCTATCCTTAGAAGCACGAAGGTTTTGCATTTTGATAATGCCAGTCTGTCATTTTTCGCTCTTAATGCTTGTGCTTTGGTGTCATATCTGAGAGGTCTTTGCCCAACCCTACTAAGTTTTGGAACAGACTTCCCTCTGCCCCCACCCCACTCATCAGCATGTCTTGGCCATCTGTCCAACTCAGTGCATACAGAACTGCATCATCAACCTTCAGAGCTCTGGTTTCTGGAAGGGGGGCGGAGAAGAAAGGAGACAATAGGGCCAGACTGCTCAAAATATCCAGAACCAATCTGCTTGTCCCTGAGGGCTCCTGACTTCTCTTTTGGATCATCTTGTGCCTGATACTTCCTCTGTGGTTTGCAAATAAAACTTTATTAGGCTATTAACTTTGTCACATTTTATGTTTTTGTACCTTGATCACACAGCTTCCTAGCCCCACATTGTCTGTAGCCTTAAATCTCTCCATCACAGATTCTAGTGATGGGAGGCCCCTAAGAAACATGTGCTCCCCTATAATTTGGGACTCGACAGCTGCTGCTTCCAGCATTTACTTCGTTCTCTTCAACTGGATTGGGCCTTCGGAATAATTCAGCGCTAGCTAATGTATTCAAGTATAAAAATATGGAAAAGGATCATTGGTAGGTAACTACAATTGGCAGGTGTGTTTCAGTGGAAGATTTGGGAGTATTGCTCAACAAAATAGTAGTTATCATTTAACAGATTCCAGAATGAGATAAATGGTTGCATCCTGGCTTCTGTCCAGAGTAGAGCTTCACTGGGCTTGGTGGTAAGGATACGAGGTATTGTGTAAAGCTAGAAGCTTCTTTAGGAAGTGATTTTCGGCCAGAGAATACTAATGGAGAAAATGCAGGTTCAGGGAAAAAGCCTGTGAGGGGGGCTTCAGAATAAGAATGCAAAGAGTAGGTTGGAGGATTTCAGAGCTCAGTGAAATGCCAGTAACCACCTCGGTGAGAAGCCAAGCAGGGTGGCCTCCATCCTTTGCGGACCTAACCCCCCTGGATGGGGGCATGGCATTTGGAACCCGAGAGCTAATACTGGGGAAAAGCAGGGAGAGTCCGGGAGAGATGTTAGGGCAGCCCCCTGGCTGGACAAGGGCCATGGCGAGGTTAGGAAAGTGGCACTGAACAAAACTGATAAAGGGCTTCCAAGCTTGTTGGAAACTCTGTGAGGCTGAGAAAGGCGGCGGGGGGGGGGGGGGGGGGGGG